GTGTGGCAGATCCCAGTAGGTCTGGGTTTGTCACATTGATTTTTTTTTTTTTTGATTTTTAAACAATAAAAAGAATAAGGTTTATTTTAAATACACACAGGGAAAAATAAACAATCAGGTGAATAGGATAAAGTAACGTGGCTTATTCTCACTCATACAAGCATACAGTTTGGTTCACCCAGAACCCTTAACTTGAAGCACAGACCCTGAACCTATCAGTTCTGGCTAACCAACAGACACCTGAACCTATCAGGTTGGTACTCTGACACACAGTAGTACCCTGTCTGACACACAGACTCCCACAACAGCTTCTTCTTCCCAGCTGCTGCTTCGTCACAACCCAGTGTCTCTCAGCATCTCTCAGCATCTCTTAGTGTGTGTCCTCCACCACACAGGCATCACATATTTATACAGTACAGCCCCTCCTCCTGATGTCCCGCCTTCCACTCCCCATAGGATGGAACTTTCCCTCCAAACCCATGACAGACAGGTAACATCAGTGCTGTATGTAACAGGCAGAAGCAGGCCGACACACACACACACACACACACACACACACACACATGCCTTCCCGCCTTGCATTTGTCTTGGAGAGGCAGGACTCAGCTTCTCCTGGGGGAGGGGGTTGGAAGGGTTAGGGGGTGCCCTTGTCAGAGGGATGGCAGCAGCCCAGCTTGGCTCAGCAGGCATTGCCCCCTTGACATGGGGAGGGGCAAGCCTCCCCCAGGCCTCCCAATGTCTGTTTCTCCCCGGCAGAGTTAGTGTGCTAACCTTTGGGCTAGAGAGCTGGGCAGAACAGGAGGGGGAGGTGGCTGGGGTTCAACTCTCTGTGCTGACAACGGGCTTCGCTGTGGAGAGAGGAGAGCGTGGCCTAACCTCTCTCCTTCGACTGCTGCTGGGTGTTGAAAAGTGATTGAGTTGGAGCAATGAGCTTGCTGTGGTGAGCTGCTCCTTTGAGGAGATCCTGATTGTGTGTGAGTGTGTGCACACGGGCATCACTCTTCTTTTGTATCTCCCCCCCCCCTCGCTCTGTGGCTAATGAGAGGCATCCTATCAAGGTGAGACAGGCTGTAGTTTGTGTGTCCCTCCCTGTGGATCCCCCACCTGCAGGACTCCACATTTGAGCTCACATGGAGGCGGGGGGCGTGGCGCGGCGGTGGCTCCTTTTCCAAAGGGACCCTCCCTCCTGGGTGAGCAGCCCCTGGGCTGAGTTGGGGGAGGGTGCTTCCTGTTCATGGACTGTTCCCTGCTTCCTTTCCAGATCCTCCTGGACACAAAGCTGGCGGTCACTGGAGCTACGCAGGTAAGGGCGTGGAGGTCAAACATGTCCTTGTTTTATCCCTCTGGGCCCTTGGCCAGAGAGCCTGCGGAGGAGGGGCGGCCATGTTAATGATTAGCCAGTTCCCGGTCACACCTGTGCTGCTGCCTCAAGGTCATTCAAACCCTACCCTGCTTCCTCTCCAGCCGAACCTGGCCTGGACCTTGGGTGGCACACCCGGGCCTGCCCGAGCGCCTGTCTAGGGGTGGGGACTCATTTCTGGGGGCCCTGGCCCAACCCACCCATCATGCCAGAATCTCCCACCATGGTTGGAAGGAGCGTGGTCTTCTGCACACCTTCCCTGGCTGGCTGGCTGCCTCCCCCTCCCCACCCCTGCTCTGTTTAGGACAAGCTGGCTTCCCATGCCTCCGCTTGTGGCTCGCTGTGCACCTCCGTCAAGGCCCTGGTCTTGCATCGCAGGGTTGGAGGGGAAAAGACCCTTTGCTTGCTTGGTTTGCCACATCTCTTGAAGCTGTCGCTGGCCAGTGATGCACTCCACACACGCACACCCCAGTTTCCCACTGCTCCACTGGTAGCTTCTAATGCCAGCTGCTTGCATGGATCTGGCCTGCTGCATAGCAGATTGCTCTGTGCCCCAATCCTGCACAATCAAGCTGTTGGATGATACTCTGCATGGTGTGAATCAGTTTCCTCCAAGAGCCAGCCAGTTCCCACTCAGGGAGGTGCCTGCCACTGCGAGGAATGCCTGCAATCGTTCCAGGAGCCAGGGTGAAGCACAGTGAGCAGGAATGCCCAACCTGCCCAGCAATTATGTCAGGCCAGCACTGGGGCAGGATTTGCTCCCCCCCCCCAGGGCCAACTTTCGATATTCACCAAGAGACCATCCCTCCTCCCCTTTTTGGACCGTCTCCCAGGCGCCCCTTTTCTCAGCCTGCTCTCTCTCTCCTTTCAGGCAAGGCACAGTGGCCCTCCACTTTTCCCTCTTGTGGGGGCCACCTGCAGTCCCCGATCGACATTGACACAGGGGCCACCATCTTCAGCCCCCAGCTGGGAGCCCTCCTGTTGTCCGGCTACGACCTGCCTCCAGGAGAGAGACTCTGCCTGCAAAACAACGGACACACAAGTGAGTGCCTCCCCTCACAAAGTAGCCCCCCCCCCAGGAAAGTGCCTGTGAGCAGCTGGCTTGGGGAAACCCAGTCTTCACCAGACTTGGAGGGATTGTAGAAGAGAGTCAGTAGAAGCTTCTCTATGATTTTGGTTTCTCTAGGTGCCTGGGGGAAACTTTCCTGGGGGGTCCTCTTTGTGGGTGTATAACTCAGACATCTGAAAACCAATCTTCACCAAACATGGGGGTGCGGGTAGAGGAGAGACAGAGGAAGGTTCTCTGTGATTTTAGTATATCCAGGTGCTTGGGGAACCATTTTATAGTCAAACAAATTGATGAATCAAAAATCATTAAAAATTCATTGATTCATATTCATTGGGGCCATGGATATGAATTGATGAATTGGTGATTTTTTAAACTAATGTGGTGATTCATTTTTTAATTCATGCTCATCTCAATCCAGCTGCCACAAAGCTTTCCAGCCAGAATGAGCTCAGCTGGGTTTTTTGGCATGTGTGTGTTTGGGATGTGTGTGTGTGTGTGTGTGTGTGTGTGTTGGACCCCCCTCTAGAGTCCCTGAACGTTTCTCTCCATCTAGTTTAGGGAACATTTGGCACAGGCGCTTTCTCTCCTTCTCCAATAGGGAGTGATTACCTTTCGTGATCTGCACGTGGCAATTTTGCCAGCAGTGCTTCTGCTCCTTTGTTTCACTTGGTTACATGATAGCTACGGCAAAATATCTGAGTCTGCTGGGTATTCTGCACATTGAGTCCAGAATCCTATCAGAGATTTGCACCAGCATAAGGGTAACTGCATAAACTACAGTTGAGTATTGCTGCTTGCCTTCTTGGTATTTTGCCAGTCACATGAATCCTTTATTTATTTATTTCATTATTTACTTATTTGTTTTTCGGCTTTTACTCCACCCATCTAGATTCAACGAATCTACTCTGGGCAGCTTACAGTCGCAATATAAAACAAGAATTAAAACAAACACTATCCAAACAAAACAGAAAAGTTAGTTAGCTGCTTTCCTGCCTACTGAATCACCTGCCGACTCACGCTTAGCTCACATCCTCTTGAGACACCTGGGTCCTTCCCACAGGTCCTGCCGCCAGTCCGAGTCCCGCTTGCCACGCCCTTGTTATCTGCGTTGTTGGGTCTCTCTCCCTCCCCTGACTGTCACCTGCAAATGTATTAAGTACCCCCTCTTTGATGAACATTGATGTCCTTTCTTGCATTATAGCACGGGCTGTAAATGTGATAAAGGATATCCCATGTGACAGGCTTGGACTCAGGAGACCTGGGTTCGAATTCCTACTCAGCCATGGTAGCCCAGTCAGGGTGTGAGACTGGTAAAGCCACTTCTTAAATACCTTGCTTACCTTGAAATCCTATCAGGGTTGCTGTAAGGCTGTTCTCACTTGATGGCAGTTGTTGCGAGTGCGGAGAAGGTCAGTGTGGTGAAACCCATTGTACAAGGCACTGCTCGGGTGCAAAGCAATCCAGGGGAATCCAAAAGAAAAGATAAAAGAAAAAGTAGCTGTAAGGAACATTCAAAAAGCTGCACTGTGTTAATGCCTATCCCAGACTAAGGGAAAGGGCACAACGTGGCACATTGGCTTCCAGGATCATGCAATGTGAAGGGGGGGGCATCTTTAAAGCCAGTCATGCATCCTGCATATTTTCTGTGAGATACAAAGGCAATCAGCTAAGAAGCAAAGCCTCCGGGAGGTGAGGTCGGGAGAATCAACAGAGCTGTCTATCCTCTCCCTTTTTCCGAGGGAGGCGGCCTTTGTTGCGTGTTGCACCAAAACCAACAGAGAGTCTTCTAGCATGACAAGACCAACAAGTTTCATCTGGCATCTGCTTTGATTGATGGGTTTGATTTGATTTATATACTGCCCCATTAGAAAACACTACTCTGGGCAGTTTATGGGTCAAAACTTCAAACTCACAAGATCCCATGTAACAAAAATACATTCAAAAGCAATATGGCGATATACAAACAGCAATTAAAGCATAAATATAAGTAAGTCAAGCATTCATACCAACATTCGTTTAACCGTATCCAGGAGATTCAGGTGTTAAAGGTGGTGTTAACTCTGTATTTAGGAAGTTCCTGAACAAAAAGAGGGAAGGCACCTGCCACATCTCTGTTGGCAATGTGTTCCAGAAACCGGGAGCCACCACTCATAAGGCATGACTCCTTGCCGTTGCTTTTTTGGCCCCTCTCAGTGTGACCACTTTTAACAACATGGACTGAGAAGAGCAAGGAACAAGGGTAGCTGATTTCTGGCACAGACGTTAACAACAATTATCAAGCTCCGAAAACATTAAGGGCTATACTGTACATGTCATAACCAGCATTTTGAATTCAGGGTGGAAATCAACAGGGAGCCAATGAATGCAAGCTGAGAATGGGGATAAATGATGAAATTTATGAGTCCCTGTGACCAGCCTGGCTGTCACATTTCAGACCTGCTGAAGTTTCCGTACGGCTTTCAAGGGCAGCCCTGTCTAGCCTGAAGCCAGTGGCTTCTCCCTGCTGGCCCCACACGTCAGATGGGTCTCTGGAAGCTGTTTTGCATTTCATATTTGCAGCCTCTCTAGAAAAAACTGTTCTTCTTTGGGAAGAAACAGAGAGGTATTAGTACTTGTTCCTATGAAGAAGAAAAAGAAGAAAACCCTGATCTTCAGCCATTCTAGTTTATTCCATTATTTCCTGTAACATAGGTATTATTTGTTTAAAATGCAAATTGGAGACAAAAATCTGTTAAATTGGCAAGTGAAAAGAAAATACTTTTTCCTTTGAAATGTTTTTTGTTTGAGATTTTGCAGTGGAGAGATAGAAGGGTGAAAAGTGAGAATCAAAAGGCGCCATATTGCAGTGGTTCTTTCACTACATAAGGCAAGCACAGATGTACTTTTATCTTGACCCCATTTACTGCAGAAGCCAGAAGGGTGCTAGCTACTTGGGGGTGCCTTCGGTGTATAATCACCCTTTCTGATGGGGGTCAAGGGAGCCCCCCCTTTTGCCTGGGGCCTGTGAAGCCAGGCCTTCTAACTGCTAATAGCTCCTGTGCCTGAGCACCCAAGAGAATGGTCCTGGGGAAGTGTGTGTGTGTGTGTGTGTGGGGGGCTGGCAGAGTTCTCAAAACCTCTGAGCTGGATGCATGCCAGTCTCCCATGACTCAAACCGGCGTTCCCATATAGCTGGCCCCTGTGCTCCTGTGCCTAACGAACACCTTTCCCTCTTCCTTATGAATTTAGCTTAATTTCAATCAGTGGCTTGTCTGCCTGAGGGCAGCTCTTCTGCTGAAACAGTGTCAGCGTTGAGGGTGTGCCACAGGTTGGTCGACCTGCTCGCTGCGTGCAAGCACAGTAACATCTGGAGCCTTGGGTTGCTTTGTGTTCTCTGTGGGAAGGGTCACCTCAGGGTGTTGGCAGGTGGGGCCGGCTCACTCCGCAGAATGAGAGGCTCCTCTTGTTGGCAGCCAGCCGGCCAGAGCGGCAGGGCCTTGTGCGATAAGACGAGAAAGGCGCCAGACCCGTCCAAAGGAAGAAAGCCTTGCTTTGTTCCCCTTTCTTTTCTGTTGCCCCTGGCAGATAGAAACATGTTGCCCACACGGCTGGTATTCTGACCCAGACACGGACTTTGAGATTTAGGTCCTGATTCCAATGACCACCATGCCTTCCCTGTGGTGGAATTTTTTTTGTGTTGGAGCCATGGAGGCTCTGATGTGGCTCCTTTGGCCTTTAAATGGGATTAAATGTCAGAGGCTACAAAAGACGTACCTTGCATTGGGTACCTGCCCGTGGGGACAGAGGCAGGGAGCTTAATTCCCCACTGTTACTCTAAGGACGATGCCGGCCTGTGTAACCTTGGGCAAGTTGCACGGTCCTGGAGAGCGCCCAGAAGAAGGGAAGGGGAAACCGCGTCTGAGGACTTAATGGGGCCAGGAGGCTCGGCTGAGAGTCAAGAGCCGAGGCACGCCTGTTTCTTTTAGCCCAGTCCTTCGTGCCTCATGACCCATACAGTCAAAGGTTTTGCTGCAGTCTGTAAAGCATCGGCTGATCTTCTTCTGAAATTACTTTGTGAGTTCCAGTAGCCGGTAGAGAGCAGGAACGTCTCTCTCTCTCTCTCTCTCTCTCTCTCTCTCTCTCTGTCTGTCTCTCCATGTGGGCTAAAAGCCTTTGTGCAACACCTCGCACATCACTCTGCCCCACTGTCTTTTCTGCCAGTAATGTGGGGTCATCTGCGTTATCTTAAATTATTGGTGTTTCTTCCCCTAATTTTCACTTTTCCTCCATCCGAATCTATTCCAACTTTCTGTATTATGTTGTCTGCATATAAATTGAGCAGATAGACAGGTAAAATGTACCTCTTTGCCAATTAAGATGATCTATCCTTTCATCCTTCTGCAGTGAGTGCTGTCCCATCCTTTGAGCACTGCCTGGATACAGTGCTGGGATGGATGGGATGGAAGGACAACAGACGGAGGCTGAACCCAGACAAAGACGGAAATCCTGTGGGTGGGGGCCACTACTGTCTGTGGTCTGGGTGCCTCACTGTCTTTTCTTGGGGGGCACTCTTTCCCTGAAGAATGAGGTTTATAGCTTGGGGCCCGCTTTTAAACCCATCGCTATCAGTGGCATTACAGGTAGCTTCTGTGGTCCATTCCACTTATTTCCACCTGAAGTGGATCACCCAGCTAGGTCCCTACCTTGATGCCAGGTCCCTCACCACGCTGGTTCATGCACTCGTAGTCTCAAGATTAGACTACTGTAATGCTCTCTACGTGGGGCTGCCCTTGGGACTGCTATGGAGATTGCAATGGGTCCAGAACGTGGCAGCCAGACTGCTGAGTGGGGTTAGAAAATACCAACACATCTCCCCCACCGTTGGGCGCCTTACACTGGCTTCCTGTTCACTTCTGTACCAGCTTCAAGGTGAGGGTACTAACCTATAAGGCCTGAAACGGCTTGGGACCTTGATATCTGGCTGAGTGCCTCCTTCCAGTTAGATCTGCCTGCCCTCTAAGATCATCTTGGGCAGGGCGGTTGAGAGTTCTGACCCTTGAGAGAGGCCTGGAAAACAACCACTAGAAATCGGGCCTTCTCAGGGGCCCCGCCACAATTGCGGAACTCTCTTCCGCCCCAAGTCTGCCTGGCCGCCCTTCCTGGGCACCTTCAAAAGGCTACTGAAAACTGGCTATTTAGACAGGCCTTCCCTAAACAAACTCTACACTCTGATATAATACAGTGGTGCCTCGCATTGCGATGTTAATTCGTTCCACAAAAATCGCTGCAGAACAAAAACGTTGCAATGCGAAATAACAAAGCCCATAGAAACGCATAAAAATGCGATTAATGCGTTCCTATGGGCTTAAAACTCACCGTTCAGTGAAGATCCTCCATAGTGCGGCCATTTCTGGTGCCTCTAAAGCGAGGAATCCGTCCCAGAAAACAGCGGGCGGACATGTTCTTTTTCCGGCGGCCATTTTGAAACTGCAGATCAGCTGTGCGAAAATGATCGCTTTACGATGACCGATCATTGCAAAGCGAAAATACCCCATAGGGAACATCGCAAAGCGATTGCTTTTGCGATCGCAAAATGTTCGTCGCAAAGTGATTTCGACGCTTGTGAGCAGAGGAATAGAAGTGAGCCATCCTCACAGACATCCAAAGAAGAAGAGAGTGAAGGATGTGCTGTAGGGGAATTGATCAAGTTGGATGATGATGAAAGTACGACCAACAAAGCAATAGAGGTTTTTTTAGCAGAGAGGTCCAGAGACTGGGGGGAGGAGTTAGGGACGTGGAGATGGCATGACAATATAAAAGAAGAGGGGGAGAAAAAGGAGTTCAGTTCAGAGGGAGTGAGCAGGGAGACACAAACGGTGGAAACGGGAGTAGAAAGGGAGCGGATTGCAACCCTCGCGAAGAGTTTTCCAAATCTGATGAGAGAAGATGGGTTGTTGCCCCTTCCCAAGGAAATAGACAAGTGTGGAGCAGGTGAGAGGAGAAGGGAATGGAGGCTGGAAGCGGCTTTGGCTACTCCCCCCTCAGTGAACAGCGGGACCCTTGGTGGTGTCAGTCCCTTTCTACCCCGATTGGAGGGTTCGGTGGTGATCCATCCATGCTGCAGGACAACCTGCTCGTTGCTGAGTGCACCAGTCATGAGCCAGAGTGTAATTTCCCGCTTTGGGGCAAAGAAACAGTGAAAGTTAAAGATGTGGGACCTGGGGCCGTACCCAAGAAGTACAATTTGTTGAATAACGAAGAGTTGCCGGACCCGTTTGGTCCTAGATTGTTTAATGTTAACGTTAATAAAATGAATCCATTTATAACAACAACTTCGACTCCGACCGTTCTTCCCGCCGAATCTCCTGGCCCGCCCACTCTAGACAAAGAACCCAATCACAACGCTAAACGGAGCAATCGCTGTGCAAGGCACCACTGTACTGTCCAATACTGTAATATAATTTCTATCATACTACCATGTTCTTTTATTTTTACATGCTTTTAATTGTATATATTATATTGTAATTTTATCCTCACTGCACTTTATGATTTTTTATTTTTGCCCCTATGTATTGATGTTGTTATTTGCTATTTTATTGCTTCATTGTTTTATGTTATTTGCTGTAAACTGCCCAGAGTGGCCTTGGCTGCCAAATGGGTGGTATTTATATTGTAGGCATCCTTCAGTCTCGAGAGACTATGGGAACGTGCTCTGAACTACACCTGAGAAGGCCAGTTTGAGAGTGACAATCCCTTCCACACTGAAGACAAATACATAGGCGGAATAGAAATCAAATCAAATAAATATGGAGGATGGGGTGAAACCTCAATTGCTCAGCCTTGTGATCAGAGGTTACGAGGCCACCAGTTAGATTCAGTTGAGGAAAAATGTCTCTGACACGGCAGAGTGCCGAGGGAGGTTCTCTCCCCACTGAGGCATGCAGAATGAAGGCTAAAGCAGCCCTTTGGGGAATCTGCCTGTCATCCTCCTCCTCCTCCTCCAACAGTTGTTTTAAAGCTACCGGAGAACATGACTCTCACCGGCGGGGGGTACCTGCAGCCATACCGAGCAGTCCAGCTACACCTGCACTGGGGCTCTGCACATGGCGTGCCTGGCTCTGAGCACACGGTCGACGGGCACCGCTTCGCTGGCGAGGTGAGTCTTGCTGTCTCCGGAGGAGGCTTCCAGTCCACTTCTTGGCCCATCGGGACCACTCCTTGCCTGCCTGGCCTCTCCAGGCGTGATGTGCCAGGACAGCCCCTGCCACCTTGCCTGAGCCAAACCCTAAGTGGTGCTGAAGGGTTTTTGTGGGTTTGTGGCTCCAACACGGCATGCATAGGGAGCTGAGAGAGGAAGCACCCCTCTCAGTCTCCTGGGAGGACACCCAGTACATGAAGGGGTCCTCCTCCTCCTCCTCCTCCTCCTCCTCCTGTGTTAAAGAGTGGCTCTGTGGCTGCCCCGCCTGATAGTCCTCCTCTCTGGCTGGCCAGACTAGGGTTGCTAGTGGATCTGGAGACCAGCCTGAGAGAAGGGAGTGTAGCTCTCACCAGCCAGGGAGCTGACACCAGCCAGGTCCGTTTCCTGCGGCTGTTGAATGGCAAGGAGAATCAGTGGCCGTCAGAAGGACCCCAGAGCAAAATAGAAATGGCCCCACGTCCCCTTGCATTACACTTGCTCTCCTCGTTTCTTTGGCATTCTTGTTCTGGGGAAAAACAGCTGAGGACCTGGAAGGGAGTGTAGCTCTCACCAGCCAGGGAGCTGACACCAGCCAGGTCCGTTTCCTGCGGCTGTTGAATGGCAAGGAGAATCAGTGGCCGTCAGAAGGACCCCAGAGCAAAATAGAAATGGCCCCACGTCCCCTTGCATTACACTTGCTCTCCTCGTTTCTTTGGCATTCTTGTTCTGGGGAAAAACAGCTGAGGACCTGGTGACAAGACTGTGTGTGTGTGTGTGTGTGTGTGTGTGTGTGTGTGTGTGTGTGTCTGTGTGTCTGTGTGTCTGTGTGTCTGTGTGTGTCTGTGTGTGTCTGTGTGTCTGTGTGTCTGTGTGTCTGTGTCTGTGTGTGTGTGTGTGTGAGAGAGAGAGAGAGAGAAAGAGAGAGAGAGAGAGAGAAACAGACAGACAGACGGCAGAGGTATGCAGGGGTTCTGGGTGGGAGAGACTGCGTGTGCTCAGAGATGCTCTCTCTCCCCTTGCTTCCAGATCCATGTGGTCCACTACAATTCCCAGTTTAGCAGTTTCCATGATGCTGTCCAAGAGCCTGGAGGGCTGGCTGTCCTGGCGGCATTTCTTCAGGTGACCTTAGTTGCTGGGAGATGGCAGAAGGTGGCGGCACACGGCACATTCTGGGGCAACTCAGCTGAGCTGTGAGGTTTCGCCCTCTGCTCTAGTTGGGGCTGGCCCCGGAGGCTGTCGGTTCTTCCTTTAGGACCCAGGCCGTGGGTGAAGTTCATTCATGCAGTACAGGCACAGCCATGCATGCGGCTCATGCAAGGTCTTTCAATGACTCTTCCAGGTTGGGGAGGAGGAAAACGAGGCGTATCAGCACATCCTTGAATCCTTGAAAGAGGTCCAAGAGGAAGGTAATAAAGAGGACAATCATTATTTGGCCTCCCCTGGCATTCTCCACTCTTTAGTGACTAGTGTGCGTTGGAGGTGGGCAACCAGGTGCCTGCCCTCAGCAGGCTGCCTATAATCGTAGAATGGCAGAGCTGGAGCCCAGCCCCTACGAAGGAGCCACAGTGGGGAATCAAACTCCCAACCTCTGCCTCTGCAGCCAGAGACATCAACCCCAGTTCCTGTAGCTGAGACTCTGGGTGTGATCACGCAGGGAAACAGATCACATTTTGGACTGCTGGTGGAGTGGTTTGGTCTGATCTATTTCCGGGCAATCACATGAACATACAGTCCAGCTCAAACCTGGTCCATGCACAAGCTGTGCCTTTCTGGTCCAGCTCTAGCGCTTACCTTCTTTTGGGGGCGGGGCTGGGCTGGTTCTACCTGGCAGACTGAAGGGCTGTTTTAAGGGAGATGGCTGTCATTCAAGGGACCCCTCCTCCTGGCGCAATCCGCGTCTGATCACAGGGTCCGTCAGCATTCCAGGAGCTCCTCGGGTGCCAGCACTCTGGCAGGCCTTATTCCATGGGACCTGAAGGAAGCCGTGCTGGTTAGGGACCACACAGAGCTGGCAGAATTGCCTGGTATTCAGGTTCCTTTCGACATCCGTGTTCTAGTAGGGTTGGAAGGGAGCAGCTCGCAACCCTCCATAAGTGGCCATCTGCTGAGTCCTGGAGGAGGTGTGGCAGATTGCCTTCCCATGACTCTTCACGGGGCGGGGGGGGGAGGGTTGACAGAAGAGGAAGTCCATGCGGGCCCACAAGCAGCTCACGGCCCTCTGGCTCTGCTGCAAGGCTGTCACTCTAGATTGCTTTTCTAAGGACATTTTTGGCGCTGAGATAATTTGAAGATGTCATCCTGTCACTTCTAGCTTGTCGTCGTTTAGTCATTTAGTCGTGTCCGACTCTTCGTGACCCCATGGACCAGAGCACGCCAGGCCCTCCTATCTTCTACTGCCTCCCGGAGTTGTGTCAAATTCATGTTGGTTGCTTCGCAGACACTGTCCAGCCATCTCATCCTCGGTCGTCCCCTTCTCCTCTTGCCATCACACTTTCCCAACATCAGGGTCTTTTCCAGGGAGTCTTTTCTTCTCATTAGATGGCCAAAGTACTGGAGCCTCAGCTTCAGGATCTGTCCTTCCAGTGAGCACTCAGGGTTGATTTCCTTTAGAATTGATAGGTTTGTTCTCCTTGCAGTCCAGGGGATTCTCAAGAGTCTCCTCCAGCACCACAATTCAAAGGCATGGTCCAGCTCTCACTTCCATACATCACGACAGGAAAAACCATAGCTTTGACTATTCAGACTTTTGTTGGCAAGGTGATGTCTCTGCTTTTTAAGATGCTGTCAAGATTTGTCATCGCTTTCCTCCCAAGAAGAAGGCGTCTTTTAATTTCAGGGCTGCTGTCTCCATCTGCAGTGATCATGGAGCCCAGGAAGATAAAATTTGACACTGCCTCCATATCTTCCCCTTCTATTTCCCAGGAGGTGATGGGACCAGTGGCCATGATCTTAGTTTTTTTGATGTTGAGTTTCAGACCGTTTTTTGCACTTTCCTCTTTCACTCTCATTACAAGGTTCTTTAATTCCTCCTCACTTTCTGCCATCAGAGTGGTATCATCTGCATATCGGAGGTTGTTGATATTTCTTCCGGCAATCTTAATTCCGGCTTGGGTTTCTTCCAGTCCAGCCTTCCGCATGATGTATTCTGCATATAAGTTAAATAAGCTGGGGGACAATATACAGCCTTGCCGTACTCCTTTCCCAATTTTGAACCACTCAGTTGTTCCATGACCAGTTCTAACTGTTGCTTCCTGTCCCACATATAGGTTTCTCAGGAGATGGATAAGGTGGTCAGGCACTCCCATTTCTTTAAGAACTTGCCATAGTTTGCTGTGGTCCACACAGTCAAAGGCTTTTGCATAGTCAATGAAGCAGAAGTAGATATTTTTCTGGAACTCTCTGGCTTTCTCCATAATCCAGCGCAAGTTAGCAATTTGGTCTCGAGTTCCTCTGCCTCTTCGGAATCCAGCTTGTACTTCTGGGAGTTCTCGGTCCACATACTGCTGAAGCCTACCTTGTAGGATTTTGAGCATAACCTTGCTAGCGTGTGAAATGAGTGCAATTGTACGGTAGTTGGAGCATTCTTTGGCACTGCCTTTCTTTGGGATTGGGATGTAGACTGATCTTTTCCAATCCTCTGGCCACTGTTGAGTTTTCCAAACTTGCTGGCATATTGAATGTAGCACCTTAACAGCATCATCTTTCAAGATTTTAAATAGTTCAATTGGAATGCCATCACCTCCACTGGCCTTGTTGTTAGCCAGGCTTTCTAAGGCCCACTTGACTTCGCTCTCCAGGATGTCTGGCTCAAGGTCAGCAACTACATTGTCTGGGTTGTCCGGGATATCCACATCTTTCTGATATAATTCCTCTGTGTATTCTTGCCACCTCTTCTTGACGTCTTCTGCTTCTGTTAGGTCCTTCCCATTTTTGTCTTTTATCATGTTCATCTTTGCGCAAAATGTTCCTCTAATATCTCCAATTTTCCTGAAGAGCTCTCTGGTCTTTCCTTTTCTGTTATCTTCCTCTATTTCTTTGCATTGTTCATTTAAGAAGGCCCTCTTGTCTCTCCTTGCTATTCTTTGGAAGTCTGCATTCAATTTTCTGTAACTTTCCCTATCTCCCTTGCATTTTGCTTCCCTTCTCCTCTCTGCTATTTCTAAGGCCTCGTTGGACAGCCACTTTGCTTTCTTGCATTTCCTTTTCTTTGGGATGGTTTTCGTTGCTGCCTCTTGGACAATGTTACGAGCCTCTATCCAAAGTTCTTCAGGCACTCTGTCCACCAAATCTAGTTCCTTAAATCTGTTCTTTACTTCCACTGTGTATTCATAAGGGATTTGGTTTAGATTATACCTGAGTGGCCCAGTGGTTTTTCCTACTCTCTTCAGTCTAAGCTTGAATTTTGCTATGAGAAGCTGATGATCAGAGCCGCAGTCAGCTCCAGGTCTTGTTTTTGCTGACTGTATAGAGCTTCTCCATCTTTGGCTGCAGAGAATATAATCAATCTGATTTCGATATTGCCCATCTGGTGATTTCCATGTATAGAGTCGCCTCTTGTGTTGTTGGAAAAGAGTGTTTGTGATGACCAGCTTATTCTCTTGACAAAACTCTATTAGTCTTTGTCCTGCTTCGTTCTGAACTCCATGGCCAAACTTCCCTGTTGTTCCTTTTATCTCTTGGCTCCCTACTTTAGCATTCCAGTCCCCTAGAATGAGAAGAACATCTTTCTTTGGTGTCAGTTCTAGAAGGTGTTGTAAATCTTCATAGAATTGTTCAATTTCAGTCTCCTCAGCAATGCTGGTTGGTGCATAAACTTGGATTATTGTGATGTTGAATGGTCTGCCTTGGATTCGTATTGACATCATTCTATCATTTTTGAGATTGTATCCCATTACAGCTTTTCCCACTCTTTTGTTGACTATGAGGGCTACTCCATTCCTTCTACGGGATTCTTGCCCACAGTAGTAGATATGATAATCATCTGAGCTGAATTCGCTCATTCCTGTCCATTTTAGTTCACTGATGCCCAGGATGTCGATGTTTATTCTTGCCATCTCCTGTTTGACCACCTCCAGCTTCCCAAGGTTCATAGATCTTACATTCCAGGTTCCTATGCAGTATTTTTCTTTACAGCATTGGACTTTCCTTTCACTTCCAGGCACGTCCACAGCTGAGCGTCCTTTCGGCTTTGGCCCAACCACTTCATTAGCTCTGGAGCTACTCTCTTCCTCAGTAGCATGTTGGATGCCTTCCGACCTGAGGGTCCCATCTTCCAGCGTCATATCTTTTAGCCTTTTGTTTCTGATCACGGGGTGTTCTTGGCAAAGATACTGGAGTGGAATTGCCAGTTCCTACCCCAGGTGGATTGCGTTTAGTCGGAACTCTCCACTATGTCCTGTCCGTCTTGGGTGTCCCTGCACGGCATAGCCCATAGCTTTTCTGAGTTACTCAAGCCCCTTCGCCACGACAAGGCAGCAATCCATGAAGGGGGCAGCAATCCATGAAGGGGCTTGTGCATGTGGGTAATTCCATTTAGAGTTGCTTCTTGTGCTGCTGATTTCCCATTTGTAAATGTTACTCTCAGTGTCTCTGTGTATGATCTCACTGGTGGATCTTTCCATTTTTTCAGGGGAGAAGACGTTCATTGCAGGCTTTGACGTGGCCAAACTGCTTCCTCATGACCTCAGCCGCTATTTCCACTACAACGGCTCACTGACCACGCCGCCCTGCTATCAAACAGTCAACTGGACAATCTTCAACCAGACCATTCAGCTGTCCCAGGATCAGGTCCCTCTGGGCTGAGGGGAAAGTGTGGGGGGTGGGGGTGAAGGAAGCTCCCTTTCCTGAGTGGAATGGACCCCGATTCTTGCCGTGTGGCCTTCCCGTAAGCCCCGCATGTCTTCTGCACCCTCCTTTCCCCTCCTCGAACCCTTGGGGTGCCTCTGCCGAGCTTGGGGTCCATTACACGGACGGGTCATGTTTTGCTGTAGATATCCATGCTGGAGGACACCCTCCGAGGAGACAATGACGAGCCCCTCGAGGGCAACTTCCGCCCACAACAGAGTCTGCAGGGCCGAACAGTTCTGGCAAGCTTCCTGGTGCCCCATAGCCCAGAAGGGGCTCATCCACCTGGTAGGGGTGTGTGTGTGTGCGTGTGTGCGCTGGCTTCTCTTGCAGCTTAGAGGGAAGATAGCAAACCTGCCATCCCTTCCCAGTGATTCTGGTGGTTGTGACTGCTGGGCGTTGTAGTCCAAGAACATCTGGAGGTCCCCAGGGAGGAATTTCCTCTTTAATGTTACCTTCCGTCCCCATATCTTCTGGCCCTAGAGTGGTGGGTGGAAGGGAAGTAAGGTCTCTTTCTGCCTGCCCCTCGGCTGAGCTCCCTCCCCCCCTTCTCTCCCTGAGCCTTGGGTGTCTCTTCATCCCCCTGCTCCTAAGCAGCGGGTATGTTTTCACCCTCCTAACCCTAACCCTCCACCACTGCCACTGGCCTGTGATTCCGCTCTTGCAGTCCCACATGGGCACACCTCCTCCCCAGCTGCCTTCACTTAAACATTCATCTGTCTTCACAAGCTTTTTCACTGACAAATCTTTCACCTTTGCTGGGCCCTTGTTTTCAGTCCCATGGCCCTAACCTTAACTTTTCCCCTCGCCTTCATTTCCTCTGATTCTGGTGGGGAGGGGGAAGAGGCTTCCCTGTTTCTCTCAAGCACACAACTGTTTCCGTCCACACAGTGAGTGGGGCAGCCTCTGGGGAGAGATGGAAGGGCCCTTTGGCTGCTTGGTCAGGAGGGCTCAATGGGGGCAGGAAGGAGGGGGCTGTCCATTCAGGGGCAGTCAGGGGGGGTCTCAGGAGGCCAAGGCTTTAGGGAAAAAGTGCTTTGTGGGCCACCCAAAGGCACCTCGGAGAGTGAGAAGATGGGCAGGAGGAGGGAACGAGGAGGAGGAGGAGGAGAAGGAGGGGAAGGGTTTTCCTCTAAGGTTAGTACTATTAAAGAGCAAGCCGGGTAGGTGGGGCTCGTCGGCCATGGAAGGCAGCCCATCTAGGAGAAGGAAAACTCCGATTTCAAATCTCCGCTGCCTTGTGGCTATATCCACTGATGGAAAAGGCTTCAGGAGTTAACCTCGAGGCACAAATCCGGAGCTGGAGTCCCGGGGGCTGTTCGTGTCATTCTGCCAACTCCTGCAACGTTGCTGGAACCAGTTGTATTGGCTCTCGCCTTTCCATTGGACTATTTCAGCGATGTGGAGAGGGGGGATCTGCTGCTTGGGTAACAGCCTATCCTCCATATTACTTTACCCAGGCTTCATGCTCTGAAGAGGGCATGTTACCATAGTCTCTGAAGACTGAAGGATGCCTGAGAAAGGTGCTTTGAGAAACTGGCGCTAAGAATGTAGGGAGACCCCATTCTTCTGGTTAAGGGGAAAAGCTCAGGAGCAGAAGTGGCCCAGTGTAGCAAAAGGAAGAGAAGAAGGCCAGAGGGAGGATGTTTGAGATGGAAAGCGAGCCAGGAGAGAGGGAGGCCAGAGTTAGGGTCCAGAGGAAATCTGGCGCTCATCCCATTGGGTTCTGTATGTTTTTCTAATGTATTTAACGGGGGGGGGAGAGGGAGGGAGGGAGAGAGGAAGAGAGACAGCAGTACTAGGGAACGTATTTCTCCCTCTGTAAATGGATCGCTGCACCTTAATGCTTTGAGTGTGTGTTTGCCATTGTTTTGGTTTACTGCCTTTTAGTGTGCCATTAGTTTTATCCTTTTTTGTATGTGCATACTTACTATTTTTTTAGCTTTAAATGTTGTCTTTTAATGATGCAAACCACTTTGGGTCCTTTTTAAAGGCAAGGTTAAAATGTGTATGTGTTTGTGTGTGTGCGTGTGTGTGTACACACGCACACACACACACACACACACACGCGAAACATTTTATATTTCCCTTCCCTCTTTCCAGTTGCCTACATTTTGTAACTGTAGCAACTGGAAAGAGGGAAGAGAAACTGCAGACTCTTCTTTAGGCGCCCTTTGCTTCCCGGCTTTTGCCTGTTTAACTGGGCGGGGTGTAGAGCGGGATCGGTCCTACAAATCTGAGCTGCCAAGGGAGGCTTCAGCCAGTTTTGCTGTGACCTCTTGGCGCTTAAGGTACCTGTGAGACGTTTCTCATCCCCTGTGCGCCAGTGAGAGGTCGACAAGAGGCCTCACACTGACGAGAAGCGTTTGTGGCCCAAGCGACGAGGAGGTCACTGCCGGGCTCTGCCAAACGGGGACAGCGGCTGTCGTCTTCTTGCCTTTTTGTACGTCGGTTGTTTTTTATCCTTTTGGTCCATGGTTGTTCGTTTGCACTTTGCTTCACAAGTCCCAGGACACTCTCGTTTGGAGCACAGGCCTTTTGAGGAAATCCCGAAAAGGGGGGGGGAAGGGCCCCCGTTCCTGCTGCCCCTCCGTAGGTCAGCAGCCATTAATG